CTTGCTTGAACCTTTTCAATCTGTTGATAAAATTTCTCAAAATTCATCGAAATATTCAGTACTAGACTAAACCACCTTTTCATATTGGTGTTTTTGAAATGGTCTATGTTATTAATACTTCATTAGTTGGGGTTTTAGAAAATCTAAATTTTAATTAATGTCTCTCCTTCTTTTGACATCAAATATAAGTGGAAGAGCAAAAAGTGAAATGACAAAGTGACATAAGAGGAAGATGAGAAATAGAAAAGTTAAACAGAGACAAACACGAAGTTGACACGAAGTTGTTGGTTATTCCTGGATCTCTAATCCAACCTATGAATCCATAACGAGTAATTGAGACTTTCTAATGGCTTTCATCTTTTTTCATGAGCCTTTATGCAATAAATCTTGACAGCAAAGTTTGAAATATCGTACCGTACCGACGTTTCGACATTCGCTCGGTACGGTACGGTACAGTATACCATTCGGTATACCACTCAGTATATATATATATATGTATATACATATATATATATATACATATACATATATACATATATATATATACATATACATATATACATATATATATATACATATACATATATATATATATATATATATATAATTCGGCGACGCCATTGAAGCGACGTCGCCTCATTTTTATATATAAAATATTTATATATATATCCTTCTTCGGGCGACGTCGCCTTTTTCAGCAATGTCGCCGAGGCGATGCAACGTCGCCTCTCAAAAAAAAAAAAATATATATGTATATATATATATATATATATATGTATATATATATATATATATATATATATATATATATACCATTCGGTAACGGGCGGTCCGTGTACTGGTCAACTGACGGACCAGTACGTATCGCCCAGTACAGATAGTATTATTCAAAATTGCATACCTTGCTTTGCAGTAGGAAACTGAAAACTTGGCCCTTCCATCGAATTATACTGAAAGGTTTTAAACTAATAAACTTAGTCTGAGAATAGTTCAGAAAACATCTTCTCATTGTACCGAGGGAAGAGTCCATATGATCCAAATTATTTTCCTCTTCCAACTATTTGTTTATGATGCTACGTCACCTCTCACAGGGCAGGGTTATATTTCTTATCCAATCACGTATGATAAGTTTGCTGTTCACTATTTGTATGTTGCTTGGAAGTTGAATTTTGGTGTACGAAACCTTTGGATATGGAAAACTAGCACCATGTCCAAAATTTGGTGGAATTGCTTGATTCTTGGGGATCTTTTCTCAGTTACACTTTTAGTTGTTGGGAACCAGTCAGTTGCTTATGTCTACCATTGATGGGTATTTTCATCGATTTTTAGTTTCAAGGGACTCACACGGGTATTTGAATAAAATCGGCAGTAGAGAGTAAAATCCATAGACTATGGTTGTCTTCCTGACAGTCAACAAGGACATTAATGTTTAATCGAGGTCATGACCCTGATAGACCCACACAAGTCAAAACATATTAATGTTAGTCAAGGTCACTGTTATTTTCTTTTACTTTTTATTTATGTCGCTGTTGATAATGTGTTTCAATATATACAAAAAGGTCAATGTTGGCCAGTTAAAAAATAATATATATAAAAAAAGTTTGTGTTGTCGACATAAGAATGTTGAGATGAATGTGTAGAATTACTAGGAAGGATAAAAATTATATATTTTTATTCATGAATAATTAGGTATCGTTTCATTAGAGGATAAGATTAGAGGATAAGATAAGAGAAAATTATTTAAGATGGTATGGACATATGCTTAAGAGACCTCTAGATGCAGTAATCAGAAAATATGAAATGATCAATGTTAATGGTACTAAGAAGAAGACCTAAAAATATTTTAATAAAAATTATAAATAAAATTTTAAATATTCTAAACATAGCTAGACATATGATTTTTTACAGATTTCAATGGCGGCAAAAGATTCATGTAGTCGATCTCAAATAATTGAAGCTTACAGCTTTGTTGTTTTTGTTGTTGTTGTTGGTAATGTGTTTTAATTACTGCTGCTGTTGTTATATGTACTCAAAAGTGATCTCAAACTCCTTGCACACACACTCATCAGTGTTTGCTATAGTAATTGTTAATATCTTAAACATGCAATTTCTAGAACAAAATTGAAATTAAGCAAATATTACTTGGATATGCTCCAGGTCAGATCTTACGGCACATGTTCATTGACATGCTCAACCTGCTGCTCTTTGAAGTATAAATAACATGGAGGTAATTGTATCACCTAATTCAGCTCTTTAACATTCAGAAAATTGTTTCTGTGAATAATTTCTAACCTGCCTATCTGCAATAAAGCTGTAATTTTGTGCCTCACTTGATGCAATCTATTTAACTTGTTCTCATGTCATATGCAGCCAGTTTCCTTTTCTTCCCGCAGCCGCCATTTAGAATTCATAGACATCGCTGCTGAGTGTCGATCATCCTCTCCCATATATGATGGCAACATCAGGTATCCTATACTTAAACCAGGCTTCTCTTTTGTGTGGATCGATACGACAGGTATCATTTAGCTTTGCTGAACACATGTTCTTGGTACATTCTCTGGGTAAACATTTCTTCCCATCTTTGCAAATGTAATGCCACTAGAACATGATAGGGTCTGCTGTAAGTTAAAAGGTACAATCTTCAAAGAAATAGAAGATTACATTGCATCACTAAATACAACAGGATGGAAGAGGCTTTGCAATTGCTCTGTTATTTTTGTTACTGTCTACAATGAGATATCCTAATGGTTAACATGTATCCGCAATGAATACGTCTAGGGTTTCAGTTCTAATATTTGGTGTCATAGGACTCTGTTTCCCGCGGACCGACCTTCTCCATCTTCTCAACTTCCTCCTCGCCCTTTGTTTGTATTTTTTTTTTTTCTGCCTTCATCTTTTCTTTTTCTTCCTTTTTTTAGCAGTTTTTCTTCTCTTCCTCTTTCGGTTTGAGCACAGTTAAGCATAATGAAATTATTTTTTCTTATTATTTTGAAGTATTTTTCTTTGTGGAATTGATGAGGTGGAGGTATTATACTCCCCAACAAACTTGATTCTTATGCAGCCCACACCAATAAGACATGTACCGAAATGTCAACCACACATAAGAGAGGGAGAGAGAGAGAGAGAGAGATCGGAGAACATCAATGACAAATCACTGATGTGAGAGAGAGAGAGAGAGAGAGAGAGATTGGAGATCATCAATGGCAAATCACTGATGTGTGAGAGAGAGAGAGATTGGAGATCATCAATGACAAATCACTGATGTGAGAGAGAGAGAGAGAGAGATTGGAGATCATCAATGACAAATCACTGATGTGATATTTCAACCGTCACCAATGCCAATTAGAAGATCTCAATGACCACGTACGAATCCTACGCGCAGCTCACACGCGCTCCAGGAAGGAAGGAAGGAAGGAAGACACGGGCCCAAACTACAACAAAAGCAAACACTAAAAACATCAGCATGAGTTACATTATTATTATTGAGTATGGTATGGATATCGTGTTTACATTGTTGACTAACAATACAAAAGCTATTTAATATGATTATGCCACGTCGATCGTCGTCATCTATTATGATATATGACTAGCCACAAAAATTATTGCGTGTTTGTTTGTCTTTGATCGACGACAGGTAGAGGAATCAAAGTGGGCCGGCAGAGTTCATGTCATGGCCATCAGCACCTAATAAAGCCGGCCAAATTAGGGACATCCGACAAACCCCCAACATTCGTAGGTTTCTTCGGTGCATCAAACCCTCTTTGAAGGTAATAAATATGATATCATAATCTCCAATCCTTAATCTATGAAAAAATAAAAATATATATATTTATATATGTGAGATAAATATAAATGATAGGAAGATTAACTAAATGAATGGTTTTATATTTATTATCAAGGATTCAAAAAATAAATAAATTATATATAGTTGGAGATGAATTTTGGTATGACGATAAGATTACTCTTTTACGATCGAAATGATGAAAAGGAGAATATACTAACATCCCCATTGCCGGATGCATGTCCTTATTTTAACCCACATTGTTGCTTGTAGCCTAATTAAGAACTCCAAGTTGGTTGAGTGGCATGAAGTGTATGTTTCATTGTGTTCTATACACTTCATCTTCTTCTTTTTTTTCTGTATTTAAATACTACTTTATTTGCATACTTTAATAGACTCGTATAATAATTCCAATGATGATAGTGAAAAGAAGATTAAAGATGGCCTTTAGAAACACAAGTGGGGAAGAAAGAAAAAATGGGGCATCTACTTCAAGAGTGCATATGAAGAATGCATCACCCTTTTGTTTTTTTCCTTCCTCGGATAATATTTTATATTTTTATATATTATATTAATCATGGAAAATGGCATCTACTTGAAGAGTGCATCTCAAGACTACTACATCACCTTTTTAATTTTAATTATTATACATATTATTGATAACTATGATTGTCTTATTGTGCATATAATAATATGCTGAGACAAAGAATATATTTTCATATATGAAGTAATACTTTTTTTTTTGAAGAAAAAAAAAATTTACATAGATTTTTTTTAATTTTATTTAGTCTTTTTAAAATATTTTTTTAATTGGAAGTAAAAGGCACAACCATATTTGTAACTAACTCCACCACTAAACCCTCCCCCTCTCTCTCTCTCTCTCTCTCTCTCTCTCTCTCTGTCTCTCGACATATCTCTTTCCACAACTCTTCCCGTCCTTGACGCATTCTCTCTCTAGAGGGCTCTCGTCCTCCCCCTCCTCTTCTCTCTCTTTCTATGTATCTCTCTCTTCCTACACCTCACCTGCCCTTGACACATTCTCTCTCTTAGATAGATCTCTCTGCCTCCTCTTCTCTCTCTTTCTATTCATCTCTCTCTTCCTACACCTCTCCTCTTCGTTTACTTGACACATTGATTCTCTATCTCTTACACTGTACCTCTCTCTCTCTCTCTC